CTCGTGCAAACACTATATGAAGCGCACAGAGTTTTGCTGATTATCTGAAGTGAACGCAACGAGATAAACAAATAAACTGCAATGAACTACATGATAAAATATTACTGATGGTAGTGTTCAGCTGCGTAGGAACACTAGCATTCGCTGAAGTGATACAGACTCGTTCAACGAGTACGGATAATGGGCTGGCAAATTGACTCTTCAGAATGTTATTGCTGTGTTCTTGTTGAAGTGTACGCGACTGAGTAACGTCGTAATGAATTCCAGAATAAAACTTAACAAAATTATCGAATTCACAACACGATAACATTTTCAAATCAGTCACGCTTCGCGTAACATTCTCTTCCTCTTCTAATTGCTATAATGAAGCATCAAAAGCTTACGTTAAAATGTTGTCTGCTTTTCGTAATGCCAAACGTTTCACAGATAGCACCATCGAATGACTGATCAGCAGCACCAATTCACATCTCAATAAAAGCAAGTAAGATCGGTATTCAAGGCAATAAATAGTTAGTAGTGCAGTTGACTTATAGGCAAGTAGGCGTTGAGAAAATCGCATTGAGCACAGTCCATCTCAAATCAGCAATAGCTTCAATGATCACTATTACGGCTGATTGATGAGGCGGAAGCTGCTGCGATTATTTTTGCATAAAGTGGATGCATGAAGAGGAAACTGGTCCTTCTTGAAACTGCGCATTTGTGAGCGCTAAGCGAACTTGACTACTCATGTTTCAGGGAAATAAAGATGGAAAGTTAATAGAAAACGATTCGGCACCACAAAAACGCTGTCTAATCAGAGTATTTAGTGAATGGAAGATGGCAATTAGAAGCGATTTCACCAGTTTGTGTGAAAAAGAAATGATGGCAATTGCGACCGCATCTCACATGTACGGAACATCAAAAGGCAATATCATTCGAATACGAACTAATCGATGAAATTTCTGAGTTCGTTTGAAATTGACATCAAATTGATTACAAGATTTCAGGAATGCATTTTGAATGCACTTCTAAAAATCTATAAGGTTACATTTTTATTAAAACTTTTACAAAGCAGTGAAAATTATTGATGAGAACAGAAATAACAAAAGAACATCGGAATAAAACAAGTGAATCGAGCTAATTTGAATTTGTTCATGCTGAAGTTGAATGGCATCGTTTTCCTATCGGTTCCACTTGAGTGACAGTACTGCGAAGCTTTTTGCCATATGCTTTCGGATCAAATCCGATTCATTGGAATGTGTCTCGTCTCGTCGAAATCTTGAAAATTGCCACATCCGACAAATCAATCAATCTCAATTCAGCAATTGATGATTGCATGCTTGCCCTATGCAGACCAATTTTTTGATTTCGGAACAGACTGAATAAAAGATCAGAAAAAAGCATCAAATCTTACAATTTTTTACAATTTACAATTTACAACACCATATCTTCNTACAATATGATATACATCTCATCCCGAAACGTTGGGGTAAGTTCGTGACCTTCCCTTGTTAGAAAAACTAAGTTCGAATTAGTTTTGCAGCTGATTCGCATAAAACTGTACAAAATGCAGATTATTCAATCAGTTTCTTCGATCCGTTGCCTTCGAAGTGCTTGATTACTAAAGTCTGCTGAATTGAACTGATCATAAACTGAATCATTCGAAGCCTTCCAATGCTTCCCTGATAAAATCTACTAATATTTTCTCAACGAAAGTTAAGTTCATTCATACTATTTTGAGAAATATGATGTGATAAGACTGGATGCCTTCTAATTACTAGCCACTAAAGTTGCAAAGAGCATAATATTGAACGATGTAATGAGAATCAGATTAAAAACGTGCAAAAGAGGAGCACTGCAACAGTGGTTGTTCAACTGTTTCACAGAACTCATCTCCTCAACTGCGCAATATAAACTACATATATCATGATGTCGAATGATGCTTTATAGCTGACGCTTGCAGGATGTGTCGAAAAATTTTTAATAAGTGATCATGATGTACATTTGTCGTCGTCATTAAAAAAGTATGATTGCACGACAAAACCAATTTGCGATTCAGTCATACGCCCACTCTTCACCACTCACAAATGCGCGTCCCTTCACAACCATAAAAACAATTGCCACTGAAAAGTAATCAATTGTTGTTTGAACATCGCTAATAAGCAATCCTTTCCGAGCACGGAACACTTGAGAATTCAATTTCAGCAACAAATGCAACATAAATTCGAAATTCATCTTCAGCTTCGATGATGAATTATTTCGCTACAAGCACACTGAATTAATCTCTAGCCTCGCCAGATAAGCAAATTTCTCATGAATAAAAAACTTTCATGGCCAGAAGCAAGTGCGAGTGTGAGACGCTGAGAATTTATTAATTGATCACTCCATTCTGCTCACAATTTTGATCTCTAAGAGAGCACAGTCATGTCCCAGCAAATATTCCTTTCCAAACACTGCAGCATGCAATATCATTAATCAAGTTCTTCACTACTCGACAGGTTGACGTAGTAAACGGAAACACCAAACTCATCATGTTGTGCTGTTTGTATTGCTTGGCATTTTCAGCATTAAAAAACTCTCAGACACCATCACTACAAACTTTTTTTACACAGTAAACAAATCAATATGTCATTATGACGATTGCTTTCTAATTCTTTATTCGAATCGATTATATCAATTAGCAATTTCATTTTCCAACTGTCCATTATTTCAATGAGCTCGACACGAGATGGCATTATCAACGAAAATCGAATAGCTCAGCAAATATCATCCCACTCAAACAAAATGAATGAACGAAGATAGACATGAACGATGAAAATTACACAATCAAATTAGTTCATCAATATCAGACACAACCGAATGAACGAATTCAAATACTTGTAATGATCCAATGAGATGAATGATGACTGATACGTTTCAATGGATCATTAGCACTGATTAAAATACGTTATTTTTTTTAAAAAGTTCACACTCAAACAATAGAAGAACAAAAATAAAAATCAACAAATTCATAAGGGAATAATAAACTGAAAAAATGGCCGCAAATGGAAGATGAGAGAGAATACAATGTTAAGTAATTAAAGAATACAACTGAAAGCAATGAGATTTATAATACAATTGCAAGCGTTTCACTGACTAGCGTGAAATTAGCGTGAGATTTGATTTCTTGTTTGAACAATGGATATTCTTTTATTCAAAGAATAAAGCATGCTTTGAAATGATTCAAGTTTATATTGTGCAATAATCGCATCAGTTCTTCGAAAAGTTTTGAGTGGGACAACGAACGTGCTCGACGGAGTAAAAAAGCATCTGAATTAGCATTATCATTTGAATTTGCGCCCTTCACAAATTAGGTTAACAGGAGCACTGCGCTCTGTTCGGCGAATATTTATGACTATTCAGTCCATCATATGAACACCCCAGAATCACACTAACGGCTCATTTGAATATTGTGCCTTAAGGATATTAATATTCAGTTTTTTGCACACTTCGGTCGTCAATCAACGAAATAACACCATTATATCCTCTTCATGCGCTACTATCACTAAGGAACTGTAGTGACTGCAAGTTATGAGTTCAAATAATGAAGAATGAAGAGGAAGCTCATCAGAATGAAGAGGAAGCTGCATCTATTTCACAGCGAAACTTGAACCGAAATAAAACTTAATTTAATTCAGAAAAAGCGAGAAATTGCGAGCGATCTAGAGGGTTTGAAAAGGCGATGTTCTGTTGCTGGTTTTTATTCTCGTTACCCTCAACGCATTNAAAATATTTCTGGATTTATTCTTTTCCCGTCGATGTTTTCCAAGCAATAATTTGTTTGTCAAATCCACACGTTATCAAATCATTTGCAGCGTGATCATCTGCCCATGCAGCACAACAAACCATACGTCGATGACTCTGAAATGATCATGCAAAATTTGAGAAATATTCATATTGGAGAATCATTCTGTATGGAAGCATTCTGAAGAAATATCAATCTCAAAAGCCATACATTCCGTATGAAATGCGCTACAAATCAGCAAATGATCAAAAATACCACAGGTTACAATCCTATGAAATATTCTATAACGTGAAATGAACGAACCCTTCCGTTTGCTCGTGGTAGTCTCGTGATCCGAACGCTATTTAGATCGTAAACTCGCACATTGCGATTATCATGCGGTATGGCAACAAAATTTTTCGGTGATATCGCCAGTCTGTTTATTGCACTATCCAAACGCACCGTCGCTATCGCGCTTCGCATATTACGCAAATCCCAAACCTTAGAAGCAATTTTTTGTTACTTTTAAATATCGACCGCAAATCTTACGATGTCATTAATGTCTTCTTTTGAAACTGTGTTCTCGTGGAGACTTTGGTGAAAATAAATCCACGCAAACGGTATGAATCTGAATGAGCAGTTTAATCATTTATGACTTTCATCATTTTCAGAAATCGATGAATACAACTTCAAAATACTTTCTGCCATAACTTCTTCCTTCTTTTTCTTTTATGGATTGTAAAAGATGTACTGAAACGACAAGAAACGTTCACCAAATCACCTTAATCGAACGATCATCACTGCCCGAGACGAGTTTATCGGTTGCCGAGAACACAACTGATGTAACTGAGCTGAAAGTCACTTCATTTCAGTCAATTTGGGATAAATTAATCAGACTAAATCTTATGCAAACATTTCGAATAGTTTACTCGTTATGTCCTTGGAAGACGGCAACCGAATGAATTGGTTCACGAAAATCCCAAAGACGAAATGTTGAATCACGACTCGCGGTTACAACAAGTTTTTGAGAAGTATGCGCACTACAATAATTCAACTCATCATCGTGACCTGAATGAATGGATCTCTATTCAATTTCACACGAGCAATTTAACTGTTTAAACTCCGATTCATGAGTTAAAAAAAAACACATCAAGTAATTCAAGCCTAAAATACGTTGCTGTTGAATAAAATATTAAAGTGGAAATCAAAATGTATGAGAAGTGAATAAAAACCAGAGAGAAGGTTGAGTATTTCGCCACGTTCAGCATCGTAAATATTCGCCGTTCGATCCCAACTCGCCGTAATAATTTGCTCACCTCCAGCGATCCAGTCAACCGCAATAACCACACCCGTATGACCAGTCAAACGACGCAACGGTTGACGAATGCATGACACTTCGCTTATATCATTCTCTAAATTTATTCCATTTCATTTTTTCACACATAGCAAATCTAAGGATGTCCGTCAGTATAAATGCAGTGTTAAGGGCATTTCATGAACTAATTTACGATAAGAAAAATTACACTTGTTGACGATATAATTGTTGAGACAACTGAATGTACACATATGTTTAATAACTGATAAGACATCTGAATGCATACAGAGGAAAACGAGTGTGATATCACGCTTCAGATTCGCACGAAGAGAGCTCACTTCAGGTTTCAATCCATCCGAGAGTTTAAATTAAATTTCCCGTTTACTATCCAATATCATTATTCAAACAAAATTCATTTGAAAAAAGCAACATTTGAATGATTCACAAACAGCTAACCAAAACGAAAGGAAGTCCTCAACCCACCAACAAAACTTTATCAACAGTTTAAAAAAAAAAAGAAAACAAACCGGCCATATTTTCTTCGTTTAAATTATTCAGATCTCGTTCAGCTGGTAATTCTTCTTCCTCACTACTTCCAATTTGATGATGATGATGCACGCCACCTAAAAAGAATCACGATGAAGTTTGGTAGAAGAATTGAATTGAAGCAATTAAGAACAATATTGAGAGTGTAATAACACGACTAGTTAAGAACTGTTACCGCTGACAGACGCCTTCCACAGATGAGCCGTATGATCACCACTCGCCGTTGCGACTGTAAGATCCGACGGATCGACCGATAACGGACTGAACGCTACGGCATTCACTGATCCAGAATGACCACTGTACTGTGCCAAACAGCAACCAGAATCCAATGACCACAATAAACATGTTTGGTCTAAAAGTTGAAAGTTCAATTTTATTATCGCAACACTGAACTTAGAACAAAAACGCTTTTTCTTTTCTGTTGTTGTTGTCAGTTTACGTTATTTCCTTTTATTTTAGGACAAAGAAGATGAGATGTCGAAAGCTGAGTTAACAATCGGCAAACAAGAAAACTGTACAGAGAACAATTTCAGGGACGGACCGGCTGAAGCACTCGCGAGAACAGGCTGACTGCCTCTCGACGTTGCAACGTGCCAAACACCGTCACGATGACCCGTAAAATTACGAACATACTTGAATCTGCGCGAGCCGTCACTAACACCAACTTTAAAACTCTGTACAAGTTTACCGGGTGGCACTCGAAATGCCGTCTTCAGTTTTTGACCCATCTGAATTGCTGTAATTTTGTTGATGAGTTAACTATAATGATGAATGGACAACAACTTTATTTTATGAAAATATTCGAAAATCTTTCGGATTGTTGATTCGTATCGAATGACTGCCACAAAGGTATGTGTAGTAGAAATTGACGCGTTTTCGTGTTGATGGATAGTGATGCAATGCATTGATTGCATCAAGAGATAAGCATCGTAAACATTCACCTTTTTTGCCAGATTCTTTGCGTCCGATGGTTGTTTCATTGGATATCGCTAATAAATCGGTTGGAATCGATACTGATTCACCGAAACGTTCACTTAGCTGATTCAGTTTTGATCGAACTGAAATTAGCTTTTTTGAGACGATTTCTTTCATTCATGAAACGACTGAATGATGACCAGTGGCAGCCAGCAACAATATTAACATCTGTTGCCATGCTCAATTTGATTTTGCATTGTTCACTTTCGAAAATCAATATACAATAAAAACACGATGACGAATTCCAAGAAAAACGTCGAATCATTGCATTTTAATGGTATATTTCGCTTGAATTCCACTCGTTTTCAACTACTCATTCGACTTCTTGAGAACACGCTTAAAGAGCGATTGATTTAGGAGAATATCAAAAAAAATCAAGGTAAACATCCACATACGTGCACAATTTTCAGAATAGAGCGCATCAAATTCCTTCTCAATGAGACCAAACAATTCATACAAACGCGCTCTGAAAGATCACTTTGCATTCAGCAACATTTATGCCAATTCAGCAATGATTATTCACATTATGAGCAATTTTATTTTCAACACTTAATGAATAGATGCAGCAAATTCGCTCATCGAAGTTTCAAATGTGACCGATGAAGTGTCCGAATTGTTCCGACTGTGAGCAAATAATTTCCCTAAACCAAATATTGACTCACCAGAACCGGTTTGTTGTGATTCACTCGATTAAAAAAAACTGTTGATAAAATTTGAATTTTACTTCACAAGAACGGTTAGGTAAGATAACGAAACCTATAGGGCGGTGTAAGTTGTTGATCATTGTCGAGGAATTTCTCCATTTTCTCAGAGACGTTCATTAAGAGTAATTCACTGTCAGTAGAACTTCGGATTCGTTGTTTATGGGTTGTGCTTCTGGATGTGGTCATCACTTTGACGGTGCATTATATAGTCGCAACGAATGATGCCTTCAAGTGATCCACTTCAAACGATCCCTACTCACTTGCAGTCAAATGCTTGCTTCTTTCTGCCAGACTATTGTTAGTCGTTTCACTTTGATATAGTGAACAATTCCTTATCGCTCGGTAGGAGAACGGTGATCAACTGACAGAAGAATATCAAATTAGCGATCGCAGTACTCTTTAGTTCAATACTTATGGTTATGTTGTTCGAACGAATACAATTGTTAGAAGCATTAGCGGAGCAAAGTTCTATTTGATGTGCTGCTCTCGAAATATGTTAAGATGGCGAAGCCTAGAGAGATGAAGCAATAATCATTTCATCAGATCCAAGAAAAAGTTGCGAGACTTTCATGACTCGATTTCACCTTTTCAGAAATTGAACGCTCAAAAATCAGCACAAACTTTTGCTTTAAACAATATTCTTCTAAATGCTAGCGATTTGATCCGTTCAATTGCCATACAGAGACAACGCTGAACGATCGCCACTTTACTGTCCATTGAATTTCCATTCATATTTCATCACAACATTGAAATGGCGTCGGATCGGAGCTTATCAATGGATAGCTCACATCGATGAGAATTTCAAAGACAAAAGTTATCTCCCCAAACCGGTACGAAAATAGATCTTATACAGTTTGAGGTGAATTAACCTGAAATGAGCCTCGGCGCCGAGGTCACTACCCGAATTTCAAATACCAACCGATTCGATTTTTATTGCCAATTCCCCATTCACATCATGCACAACAACAGTCGCATATCACTTTGGGCCTCAATACGTATCTAACTAAACCGAAAGTAGTGAAATTTTTGGCGACGATTTCGAAGATCAGCCAAATCATTTGGGAGTGACAGATACAAACGCAGCCGAACTCATTTTGGGTCGTCGACAGCTCCATCAAATCATCTCGGAACTGTAAAATATTTGGTTGTATGTTTGATCAAACATTGATTTTCACCTTTTGAAGGCAACATCTTTGTTATGACGTTCAGCCTGAACTTGTTGTTGCAGTAATTTATTCATAACCAATTCTGAGAGTTTAACAGAAACTCGATGATAATAATTGTAATATTTACATTAGTAATTAATAAAAAACGACAATAATACTAATAGTAACAACAACAGTAATGAACATATTAAGTACTACCAATAATAAACATATTGCTAATGCTCCTATTCCAGCAAAATATTGAACACATGAATGCATCGCAAATGTGCCGGTAGACTCATATTTTTTACAGAGAAAAGAGAGCATCAAATAACCGCATACAATGTGAACATTTTCACGAAACTGTTTACGACCGTAATACGATGAGCAGCTGTATACAGTTTGCAACAACACAATGAAATAACGCTTGTTGCATTTGGTTGGTCTTAATTAAATGAATAAGAATTTGCTAGTATAATGCTCTTGAGTAACATTATTAATGCTACTTGTTTCTGATCCGAGTTTTCATGCCCTTCATTTTGATGACCTCTGCTGCTACTTCTGAATCTCTAAGTAAGGTTCCAGTTAACTACGAGTAAAGGCGAATCAAAATAAGGTGTTAAGGAATTTATGCAGAAAATCCAGTAGCGTTTCGTCTGCTCCCCGATCAAAATCTAATATTTCGACTAAACTATGTGAACCATACTACCATTCGTCGCAAAACATTTATTCGAAAGAGAGATTATTTTTACAAAAAAAAAACAACAAGAAAGTCAAGGAGCGAGTGCACGACGAGAGCATTTACTTTGAGCTGGTTACGTCGTATTGTTCAACAAAAACCAATTATTTAATTCACTTAAACGTCATTAAATATTCTAAGAAGATCAAACACGACAAGAACATCCTGATTGATCAACGATAATTACATACATACAAACACACATACATCTGCTTCATCCGTCAACCTCAAAATTGCGCCCACTAAATGAGACATAAATTAATCACTAACTCAGATATGTAAGTAAAACGGATTGATGAAATCGTTCAACTAAAATATTAAATCGCGAATGACTAACAGTATGGAACAGAACAAGCTTGCACAACAATGATACCAAATGTAAAATACTGACTTAATTTGAGCAGTACATGGGTCATGATACCAATCATTATGGATCTACGAACATGAAAAAGTGACTATGAACAATAGTGGACGCATGACATTGTTATCGGAGAAACACATCGATAGAGATGATAAACGAATGAACAAAGAAGCAGAGGTCCTCTTCACTGCCTCTGAAGGTTTATGCGATGAGCAGTAAAACAAGAGTGATATCATCAGGTTTTCCGCCTGGGGCGTTAATACCGTGCAGTGACGCTTTCACAGCGAACGGTGATAAATGTCTTGAATCGAATGCTAATCTCCTCGCTGTTAACGCTAATGTATTGCATGCGGCCTGAAATTCATTTTTTACATACCTATGAGACTACATTAAGTCGAAACTAATAAACCAAATCACTTTGTGTCATCAGAATGGCCAGGGTATCAAATTTCAAGAACTGAATGCACTACTGCTGACCATAAACAGCGGAAAGCGAGTTGAAAGAAGTGACATTCATTGTTAACAGAGAGGCAATGCTAATATTGAAGTGCAAATTCTCATTGAATAATGACTTCAGTAACATCACAACGTAGATCACATGCCGTTTTGTTTGTAAATCTAGTTAGCTGAGAGCACATGCAAAGTCTGCCCTCATGGTATCACAACCGGTTACAAGACATTTTCAGTGTAATAAACAAGTAATGATTGTTCAATGAGCTGAACACACATCACTTCAATAAATCTTAAATTGTTGACAACATCAATTAAGTAACNATAACAGTAACCGTTTAGAAATATTTCCTTCAAAATTTATAATAACCTTACCTGTATATCACTCTGTTGAACGTTTGCTAACTGCTCAATAATTACACTCTCAGAAACATTATCCCACAAACCGTCAGTGGCCAAAACGACAACATCACCGCTTTGTAAATCAATACTATTCAATTCGGCTTTCTCGGGTGGATCGCCAAAAAATCCTGATCCACCTGGAATACAACGTTAACTGTTGTTCAGTTTTGATCATAAACTATAGAATGATGTGTTAAAAATGAAATATGAACGAACAATGATGCGTTAGATGATTGTGAATAAGGCAATTGGCTGTTACACTGTATGATGATTACGTAAAAAGTTATCCTTTGTGACATATACACTCAATTTCAGAACTACTCTCTAATATACAATAAAGTACAACTATACTTCAGTTTTCTTTTCAAAAATTTGGCGAAAATGATAAACTCAAATATTTGGCATGATCATCATGGATCATGATTTGCTTCTCTTAAAAAAACAACTAGCTGCGCTAATTGTCTGAGACTCATAATATGCCTGAATCGAATCCGTTCGAGATATCAAAAACATCTTGAATCGAACTTGCTTCGTTTCACAATCTGTTCCTTCAACACTTCAAGCAGCAGAACTACAAGAAAATAAACGAAACAAATAAATGAATCATAACTGACCTGCACTTTCGGGTAATAATGATAGCTGGAATGGTGCATTGAAATAATGCGTTTGTTCACGACTTCGATAAACAATTTCACCTTTCCTCAAAACCAAAAATCCGGAATCACCCAAATTCGCTGAATACAACGTATCTTCATTAACAATTAATAAACACGCAGTTGATGAACCAATCGGATGAGGTGGTTCTGATAGAGTCTCGTACGCTTGCGCCAATAAACGATCGGGACGACGCGGTTCAAATTCACCTGAAATTTTAGTTTTGAAATCATTTTATGAGGAAACTGAATTTTACGCTGAATTGATTTATCGAAGAGTTGAATAAAAAAAGATACAAAGAATTAAACTAGAAGAACAAGTAAATGTGGGGAAAAATAAAAAATAAATCAGTTCCCTTACCTGACTGAACTAATTCGGAACAAGCTTTCATAAGCCTACTCGAGAATTCAGATGGATCGATTCCGTATCTACGCCATCCACCTACACCATCTGCTACACCTGAAAGCAAACCTCTCCGAATTAACTATTGACGAATCATTAAAGCATAAAGCAGTCAGACAACAATCTCATGAATGCAATGATGCATGATGACTTTCAAAGAATCAAATCGATATTTGTGATTTGAAATATTCTTGGCGCTAGTTAAAGAAGTGAACTGATGAGAAGAATAAATGGCGAAGTGAACTGAAAATGGCACAAACCAACAACATGTGTATTCTTGAAATTCGCAATAAAACACGCATCATCACCGAATACGCCATTATCTCGAACCACTGAAGGACCATTAACTAAATCTTTCGGGAATCCACAACAACTGGCGTATACCCTTGTGACTGGTGTTTGCTCTGGCTGATTCGTTGTTACTGTTGTTGAAAAGTTCTCGCATTTCGACACGCCTCGACGACATTCAGCGGGCAACTGTATCGAGTGATCAATAACACCCGCACTGATTATTGCACGCACCACCACCCGGCCACAATTCACCAACATTCTACCACGAATCATTTTCGATCAGGATGACAGTCTTTGTCAAACAATATCAAATGGATCGTCTCTTCATATACTCATCTCAGTCAAATTTGCACTTGAATTTCTTGATGTTTAATTTTTAATACCTGAAATAATATTCATGTTGGTTACAGCGGTAATTATAATTTCAACAAAAAAAAACTGGCGCTAATTAGACTGGTAAGAAACATTGCGATACATCACTACTCGGAGGCAACAAAAGCTTTCCCAACTGCGTAAAGCATCGTGATGAGGTTGAACCGGTAACGATAGCACCTCCAGAAGGACAATGTGGAAGTTGTGGAGTAGTGATAAGAACNAAACCTTTTCCTAGTATCACATCACAAAAGTGGCTCAACTTGAGCAACTCGAATGACACAAATGCGCCGTGCTTCTAACCGCTGCGTTTTTGCTTTTAGCGGATGTGGCTGACTTGGACGTTTACTCGAGACACACGCAACATACAACGAGAACAAGCTCGTCGAGCACACCACTGGACAACAGCAAGCATTGGTAGTAAACAAGAGCATGAAAATATAATGAGATAAGATGGGGCAATTGCGAACGAAGTGTGGAAATAAAGAATGAAAAAGGAGAAGAAGATCAAAAACCATTTGAAAGCATAATGCGACAAAAGAAAAGAACAATTATGACTTGCAATGAGCCTGTTGGAAACAGACTTCAAACAAGTGCAGAATTCACATGTAACTGGATAAAGCAACACGCGCATCTACGACAACACACCACAGAATCTTGATAATTGCGATTCAATGTAAAGCACAAAGAAGCGGGTCTAAAAGTCCATTCGTAGGGTGGGTTTATGCTCAGCTGTATGAACACGTTTGATATCATTCAAGAAATCAATATCAACGAGCACCTCTCACCATAATCAAGCAGATATCCCTCAGCCATTCATCCCCACAATACACCACGGCACCGTTCAGCTGTATTCAACCGAAACCAACAATGACGTGTGCGTATCGCGTCACGTGCCAAACGACTGTGTTATTTACGACGACGACGACGATCTGCTGCTGCTGTTATTCGCACACGTCTCGTCTCATAGCCGCACACTCTGTCTGTATCTCTGCCCAATCACTCCCAGTGATGACTGCGCGACGATGTCTGTTCGAGTGACAATAGCATTACAACACACATTTTTGGGCGATGAACGTTTTTTGGCGGAGAGATAGGTGACTCGAATGCTTTAGGGTCGGAGTGGGCGACGTCGTGGCTTGCCGAAATGAATGATAAGAAAGTTTTTAGTTGTTACTCCTCCAATATTTGTCACTTCAATAGTTTTTTCATGTTAACGGAACGTGAAAAACTGCTGAAATATTGGAGTTTTAATGGAATTATTGAATTCAATTTGAGCACTACCAATCAGACGATGAGTTCGAATGCAGTTAAGTGATTGTGAGCAGCTTATCATGGGAAACGTAATAAATTCACATCAGCGCGGTATAAGTGGAAGTCTCAATTAAAGATCATATGCAGAATCCCTCGATCAAATCGAAGCACACTTTTGAGCAGCGCACACTTAAATCGCAGCCGAAATGTGTGAGGTACCAATATGACAGCAGTTTACAATTAGTATTGACCTTGTACAGCAGTCTTTGATATGTGGTCCTCATAAATTGTCGCCGCATCTTTTCATTCCGCTCTGTCTGGCTGCTACTCATTGAATAGCTCTAATTGCTTGTCGGTTCGAGATCCCCACAACGGCTTTTTAAATTTGTAAACTAATAACCGAAAACATCTTCGTTTCAAAATTGACGAAGATATTATTTTCGGAAAATCGCTCTTCCGAAATCCGTGCACCTGACATCCCATCCCGTAAAGTACTTATTTCAAAATTCCCAATTGTAACAAAAATCTTCTTTTCCTGAATTTCTGAAGATAATATGCAAATGAACGTTTCATCCTGAGCAGTGGAATTAAATTTCTGGAAAGTGTTTCGTTCAAAATTCGAATAATCAAAACGTGTTGACATTGCTTGCATTGTCAACTTTCGCTAGTGTTGTAGATTGCTGGAAACTTTTACATACCCTTTCAGGTTATTAGTGACGTTTTTTACAGCTCTGTTAGATGTTTTGATTTCGTTCAATCATACGTTCACATTCAGTCTCGTTTCATGACCTTATTTGACAAATTCGATAAATTTTGTTAACTCACCACCAGTAAAAATTAACCCTACTTCAAACAACATTAACAAATCAAATTAAACGAAGAGGCAGTTTTCAGTTCCGGCATATACCAAGAAACATCACTTTTCGATTGATGAGAACTGCTGAATGAAAGCAGTTTCGAGTGCAATGAATAGCCTTAATGCATTAAACAATGCATCATCAAAATCAACACATATTTTTCCATAAAATTTTATGAAAAAGAGGCAATGTCGAATGCAAATAATGTCAAAAAGATATCACACAAATCCACATAAAGGCATCATCGCTTTTTGGACGTATAGCTGCGAGTAAATACAAACTAAATATTACATTACGTAACTCAAATTGCGGGATGTTTTGTTGTGCCCATTGCAGCAAAAAACAATAAACAACATTAAAACACACACACAAATACACACTGCAACTGCACGAACTGCAAGCAGTTTGAAGTTTCAAAGAAACAAAATGCGATGAAATAAATTTGATTAAGCAACGATTATCGATAAAATGGGATCAATAAGAAATTCTAAAACGATCAAATTTGTTTCTATAACCACAAAAATGGTCACTCAATCTATGCAATCTTTGCAGAACGGAAATACTCCGATAAAGCAGAGCAGAGAAATCAGAAAAAAATTTCGTTCCAATGTTCATTAAAAAAAAAAAACTTTAAAAAATAACAGTGTGAATAAAAATTAAATGAGCATTATTTCTTGTAATTCAACAACGTTATATATCAAACTGTTGACATATACAATTGGGAAGATATTCAAAAAACTCGAGAAGTAATTCGCAAAATTTGCATTCACAAAAGTCGTCCACTTTTCTAAAACCTCTTTTTGAGTTGTTTGTTCAGTTTTCAAATTCCACTTCCATATTTACAAACAAACAAACAACTACACGAACACAACAAACATGTTTCATGTTGTCGCTGAATAAACAATTCGCTGAATATACTCAAAAAAAAATCGCTCTTTAATTATGCTACTTCAATAATATAATTACAGTTGAGGATTGCATCCAAATTAATCAATTTTCATCCAACCATCGACATTTTACACAAATTATACCAACTCAAAAAATATTTTGAAGTGAAGTTCAACGAAGAAGATCACATTGTTCAAATGTCACCCTCAAATGTGTGCAACTATTGTGACGTTTACCCGCAAACGTAATACTCAATCAGCGTCATTATCACATAAACATCAAACTGAGATTTAAGAAGTGAGAATGAGGCACATACACATCAGTAGAATTAAGTAGAATAACTGACAGTAATCATACTGGTGTTGTTGAGGCATTTCTTTCATCGGCCACATCGCTTTCTCTATTGCCGACTATCACCTGAAAAATTGCTGCTGTTCGAATATGCACTTTGCAATGCAAACGTTAGCTGCTGTCATGTAAAAGAGAATATAAGGATGGTGAACTTGAGAGATTCGAGTACATAGGAAAACAATCCTCAGTGGAAATGCATAGAATACAGCAAAATATTTATCGACAAAACTAATTTTATGTTGAAGGAAATGGACGTATGAAAGGGAACTTAAACGAAACAATTATTGTTATTGTGTACTTTGATCGGTTTTTTGCTATTTTTTACCCATCGCACTCGCACCGGTATTGATGTGGTGTTGTTTTCAGCACATTTACGAGCGTTCTGTTGCATTCGTTCTCGAAGTACAGCCGATGGATGAAACGTATTGATGAGCACACTTACAACTAATCTAAATTTCAGTTCATACTCTTTCACTCTCATCAACTCTTCAAATTCATAGATTCCAACTGAATGCAGTTCATTTCAGGAAGTCATGTCTTTCTCGTCCCATGATCTTAGAATGTGCATACGATTTGACTCGCGCACAGCCTTAAGCTTTTTATGATCGATGAGTTTCAATCATTCTCAAGTGAATTTTGAAATCCTGCCATTACAAGACAACAATGACTGCAAGATTGGATGAAAAGATATGAGATGAAATCATCGACGAAATAACGAATGAATGAATAAAACCTTGGCGAGAGGGCAATAGCAGTCGACAGAATAACAACAAGCCAGAAACGAATATCACACATCGCGAAATCAGCAACCATCACTGGTGGATCTTTAACGTTGAAAGCTGGCGATACAATAGCATTATAAATCAATGCGAACATGAAATACGCAACGATTGAGAGCACCAACGAGATTAGTAATGCTGATGTCTGAAATCAAATTAATGCATTAGCAATGAAACATTTCATTTCAGACGACTGCTCTGATTAGTTCGTTCTTTGAAGAGTTCAAGAAAGTGAAAATCCAACAAACAATCACAATATTTTATTAAGGCTCAACTGATCATTTTTAACTGAGCTTCAATAAAAAGAAATCTTCATGAATAAAAACAGTTAAAAAAATCATCACACTAAATACCACACA